AAATCATATGAATTTTAACTAAAACTATCTTTTCAGATTATTTCGCAGATTTATTTCGATTTTTAGTTCCTGGCGTTTCGATTACTTTACTGCAATCATGGTCACGGGGGAGACTAAGGTTATGAGACGTCTAAAAGGTGTTGTATTATATATACCTACTTGTTACTGACAGTGCCTACCCATTATTTTACAGAAATATATATCATTGATATAATTATACTAGCGGCTTATTCTGGCTTCACTTTGGTACGTACATCCGTATGTGTTACTCAAAGTATCTCCATCAGCTATTTTTGTACTAAATTTCATCCAAATCCGTCGAGCCATTGCAGTGTAAATAACTAACAAACATACACATACATATATGTATTTTAATGATATAAATAATATTATTATTTATTTTAAATTAAACTCAAAAGGCCTTGACCGCAATATTAGTTATTTCCTAATTCAAGAAAAATATTTGTAAGCAATGAGGCAGAACAATAATAATTATAATCTACATTAAAAAAAAACTTAAGCGTTTTCAAGCTAAATCTCAGCCTGATATAAAAAGAACTGTTTGATGTACGAGAAATATATTTATTTGCATTTGAAAACTTTGTAAAAAAATATATCTTAAATTTTTTTTTTGCGTTTTTTTTTATATATTGGTTTGGTAAATTATCAAACCAATATATAAAAAAAAAACAAAAAGTGCTGAACAATGTACGGAAATGAATAACTTTACATTATTTCACATGGCTTTAGTAATTTTAGTATAGAAAATTTTAACATATATGAATACATTTAAATTAAGCTATTAGCAATACCGAACATAAAAAGTCAACTTGTCTCAGGGGGCTGTTCTGTCTGCCGCATCGTCTCTAGATATTTTTCGCTCGGGCATGTCCCAAGGCACTTTTTGCTACAAAATAATTTCCCACAGTAATCATTTCAGTACCCGGGGTAAAATGTGATGTAGGTACTAAATATATGAAAAACTAACTAAATTTGTAGAACCCAAAGAGTATTACCGTCTACTCACTTTGTTTGCCTTTAACTATCGATTTATAAATGTGAAATTTTGTATTATATGTGTATGTGTATTTTTGTTAGTCTTTCACGCTGAAACGGCTGAACGGATTTTGATAAAATTTAGTGACCAAAAGTAAATATATAGGCTACTAGAATCACCTAGAGATCATAAGGAACCACTAGTACCTACTATTATTAAAAAATAAATAATTTTATTGCATTAAATATATTGCTATTTTAATTTTGCAAGCGAAAAACAGTACGTCTTTCAGCATGTTTAATTACTTCTAATCTATTGTTTTTTTGTCGCTTGGCAAAAACATAGGATTGGCGGTTGTTAACCTCATCTTTTAGTTTTAATATCGATGACTACACGTTTGGCTTACTTTGTAGTACTACTTGCTGCAGTGCCGGATTAACCACGTAGCAAGAGAAGCAATTGCTACAGGCCCCGCGCAAAAGGGGGCCCCGCATATTTAAACACGCTCATCTCTGCCTGAACGTGATTTTTTGAGTGAAACTTATTAAGACGTGGTATATTGAATTAATTTGATGTCACAAAGCGTGAAACGTCACACCTTTTCCTACTAATAGACCAATCGGAATCCGCTTATTTTTAAGAGAAAAATTATATATTGAAAACCTGAAGTTTTATGATTTTAAAATGTTAGTAGGTATATAAGGAATTCAAATTCGTAAATGCCCTCTATGACCAGCTACCCCCGAGAAATGGCGGGACGCAAAGCGATGAAAAATAGTTTTTTTTTTCAATTTCCGCTTTACTGTGACGTTCTATCGAAAAATGTTTTGTACAAAAGTTGTAGGTTTAGTAGAATTCTACAATTTTTATAAATAACACTTTTTACTAAAATCTCAAAGTTTTCGAGATATTTGCAAAAAACTCGGTTTTTAACTTTTTCTAGTTTTTTTTTATTTTTAATTTCTAGAATAATCTTTTGATTTCCATGAAACTGTAATCTTCGAAATACATATAATAAATAAAAAAATGAAATTGAAATCTTTAGTCATTTGCGAGAAAAGTATGTTTTATGGTCTCGAGAGGCTGAAAATCACGCCCAACTTCAAGTAAGCGTTTACATTTAAAAAAAAAATCGTTCAATTCATTTCTATTCGCTTAGTTTCATGTAAATCAAAAGATTATTCTAGAAATTAAAAATTTATTAGGATTTAGAAATATCTATTAAAAAAAAATTGTGCAATATCGTCACTTTTCAATTGTTAGTTTCTTATCAAAATCATCCTAAATTGCCAGGAATTCTCTTCTCTGGCTTTTTGTACTTGTCAGAGCCTATAGAAATGTACTGTACTATTAATCACTCACAAAATTGTAACCTATAGATGGCAACTAAACGTATTGAGGCCTGAGGTATTGAGTATTGAATTGTTATAATATGTACTTTCTTAGATTTACGCGAATATTTGACATTTTAAATAAAAATATCTTTTCGGATTACCATGCTGTAAAGCATTTGAAACGTCGGGAACCAAAAATCAAAATAAAACCGCGAAATAATCCGAAAAGATAGTTTTATTTAAAATATTGAATTGTTTTTTTACCACTTTATACTTAAAAACCCATAGCAGATCAAAGGCTCTTCAAAACAGAACATACATAAAAAAAAAAGATTCCAACGAATTGAGAACCTCCTCCTTTTTGGAAGTCGGTTAAAAAGGTATACAGAAAGCCGTTCATAAAACTGACATTTAATCTTACAGACAGTTACCATTACTGACAGTCAAACTTACTAGCCGTTCATAAAACTGACAGTTAATCTTACTGATAGTTAAACTTACTAGCCGTTCATAAAACTGACAGTTAATCTTACTAGGAGTAACCCTTACTGACAGATAAAGAAATTGACAGTTAAACTTAATAGTCGTTCATAAAACTGACAGTTAATCTTACTGACAGTTAATCTAACAGACAGTTACCCTCACTGACAGTTTAACTTACTGATAGTTAAACAAACTGACAGTTAAACTAACTGACAGTCATGCTATCTGACAGTTAAACTTACTAGCTGTTCATAAAACTGACAGTTAATCTTACTGGTAGTTACACAAACTGACAGTTTAACTGACAGTTAAACTTACTAGCCGTTCATAAAACTGACAGTTAATCTTACTAGGAGTTACCCTTACTGACAGATAAAGAAATTGACAGTTAAACTTAATAGCTGTTCATAAAACTGACAGTTAATCTTACTGACAGTTACCCTTACTGATAGTTAAACAAACTGACAGTAAAACACACTGACGGTTAAACAAACTGACAGTTAAACTAATTAAAAGTCATGCTAACGCTTTAATCTTTTTTTGAAAGCCATTTGACCAAGACCAGAAAGTGACATATTGCCCATAATAATGTAGCTTACTATATCATTATCAGGTCTATTAATTATCCATCTCTATGCTCGTTATCGTTCCATTGCTCGATTATTATGTATACAGTGTATTATTATAAGGACAAAAAAAACAAACTCGTACATATTATTAGTTTTACTATCGTAAAAACTTGTTTTATCTCTTATACTATAAATACTTTATAAAGAAACTGACAGTTAAACTTACTAGCCGTTCATAAAACTGACAGTTAATCTTACAGACAGTTACCTTACTGACAGTTAAACTAACTGACAGTCGTGCAAACTGACAGTTTAACTTACTGGCAGTTAAGTTAACTGGCAGTCAAACTTACTAGTAGTTCATAAAACTGACAGTTAATCTTACTGATAGTTAAACAAACTGACAGTTAAACTTACTAGCCGTTCATACAACTGACTGTTAATCTTACTGAAAGTTAATCTTACAGACAGTTACCCTTACTGACAGTTAAACTTACTGATAGTTAAACTTACTGATAGTTAAACAAAGTGACAGTTAAACTAACTGACAGTCGTGCTAACTGACAGTTAAACTTACTAGCCGTTCATAAAACTGACAGTTAATCTTACAGACAGTTACCCTCACTGGTCTTGATCATCTGAACGCGGACGGAGCCGCGGGCAATGAATAATTGAGTGAGTGAGAGTGTTTATTATTGGATGACGTTTTAACAATGCCAAACAAATTTCAGAGAAATTCATAAATAAAAATAGGTGTGACTTAGAAATACTTTATTTATGACTATTTGAAAAGATATAAAAAAAAAGAATCATTCAAATCAGACTGTTCGTTCCAGCGTAAAGCAAACAAAAACATAACACTTATAGGTAAATCGTAAACACGATAAATCGACTTCGGTTTTAATAAGAAACTAAAAAAATATTTACGAGAGTGACAATTATGAGTATTTAACATAATGCTTAAATAAGCTATTTCCATTCAAATTTCAGTTTTCTATTAGCGTTATCGCTTATAGAATGTTATCTTTTTTCGAAAGCCATTTATTTGACCAAGACCAGAAAGTGACATATTGCCCATAATAATGTAGCTTACTATATAATTATCAGGTCTATTAATTATCCATCTCTATGCTCGTTATCGTTCCATTGCTCGATTATTATGTATACAGTGTATTATTATAAGGATAAAAAAAACATACTCGTACATATTATTAGTTTTACTATTGTAAAAACTTGTTTTATCTCTTGTACTATAAATCCTTTATAGGCCAATGACACAACATCTGGTCCATGACATTGAAGTATCAGCGTGACAAATGCGATTTTCTTATATAGAGTTAACCACCTTACAAAGCACGATCTATTCGTGTCGGGAAACCCCATATATGTTATATAATAAATATGAGTTCGAACACTTTAAAGATACATTACATCATTGGTATTATGATAGAGACAAAAAATATATTTTCAACTCACATCTGTTGAGTGGTTTTGCTATTGTTATGCTAATAATAGATTTAAACCTAATGTTACTTCGAATATAATGATTTAAGTATCGAAAATTAATGTTTAAGTACCTAAATAAATCAAAAGGATCCAGTGAGACGATTGTTCGACATGGCCGGTAAAGGATCAGATGCACTTCGAGCTGCTTATGTAAATTTCTTGAGTGAAAACTCCAATACCTATATTTTGTCTGACCTGGAACTCGATCCCAGGACCCCAGATCTGCAGCCTTTAGCACCAGCATTAGTTAGCCAATTGACCAACAAGACATTTATGTATGGTAGATGCCTACCTGCTAATAGTTTAGATTTCCGAGCCTATTGCCCAAAACAAAGTGTCGAGAAAATGTAATATATGTACACATTATAAAGTCATCTAATATAACATAAAACGATCTTATAATAATACGTTGCGCCGTATTACAACAATTCTTGATGATGGAAAGGAAATTACTTTGCGATATCAATAACCAAAGATTTGTACACTTTAGATCAACACGAAATACATTACTTAGAAGTTAGACTGAACAGACTGACTGACTGACAGAATTACGTAGAACATATTAATAGGTATCTCTCATGAGAGTTGGGTAAGGCATATCTAAAGTCCCTACTTTAGTATATTTTGTGTATTATTTTTATATATACAGATAAATAAAATTGAAGTAGGTATCTGTTTCCCCCAACGTGCGTTCACATTGTCGTGGTGGGGGGGCTCAGTAGTGCCCGGCAATCCAACCGGGCGCGAAGCTAAGAAACGCACAGGGAGGTTGCCCACTTCGGTGGGCGGTGGGAGGTGGCCCTCTTCGGGGGGCGGTGTACCATGCGGGTTGCTCCTGGTACTTCTCTGATAGCAGAGTGGACTGTGGAGCAACCCCATGGTTGTGGTGGTCTGCTTCGGCAGACCTGCCGTCGGGGCGTCGTAGTTGAATGCGTAAGCGATCCTGCGACGCCCCATTAAGACGGGGGAAGGTTTTGTTGGGTTTTAGTGGGTAGTACTGGCTGTATTACGTCGGTGAGTCCCACACGTCGTGCGTAAATGCATTTCCCAACGTTAAAAAAAAAAAAAAAGGTATCTGTTTGTAATGTCAAAATAACAGCGTTTTACTAAATGCATATAAAATTATATAGGCTGCTTAGGTATAAAAAAAACACAATTTTTAAATTTTTCCTCTGTCTGTCTGTTTGTTTGTTCCGGATAATCTCTGACACGGCTGTACTGATTTTGATGAGACTAACTGGAAGATAGCTGATGTTATAGGGAGTAACATAGGCTAATTTCATTTTATAAAAAAAATGGGTTCCGCTCAAAAAAATTAAAACGTACCTAGGTACGCACCCGAGCGAAGCGAGGGTGAGTCGCTAGTATTTAATAATGTGCATCACAGTCCACACACAATAATACCATGTACCTACAGTTTATAATTTAAAGCTTAAAGGTTTTGTGATTTTAATATAATATCTTTGACATTTATATAACGTAACTAGAAAAAAATGGTAAGTTTTAGGTTTCCGAAACCATTTTGAATACCAGTTTTTATTCATTATTTTAATAATTTATTAAATCAAAAATCTCCATCCATACATCTCCATTTCGAATCTCAATTGCGAAATTTACGCAATTTTAGTTTCATAATTAATTATCACCCAAAACTAAAACTAGATTAAATAGTTTTAAATCACTCAAACAAAACCGTAATAAAACTCACTAAAATCCCTTTTAATTGGTACGTACCTGAAACAAAAAAATTATAATATAATTAGGTATATGCATTATGTAATATATAAATACTATATTTCGTTATGATCTAGCAATAAATATAATTTTAATGAAATATCTACATCAAAGTTTTGTAAGTAAATATTTCACAAAATAAAATATATTGGTAATAAAACATGTACGATTAAGTACATATTATTTTCTTCGAGCGGTGAAATCAAACACGCAACATCACTTTCGACATAGTGCTAGCATTGCCCGCGGCTCCGCCCGCGTTCAGATGACCAAAAACCAAATTCTTAGGTTTTTCATATTAGTATTCTCTTACAATGCACTTTTTGTATTTTTTCTCAGAAATAAGATATTTTCCTGCAGTAAAAATTATCCTATATGTTGAACCGGATAACCAGCTATCACTATACCAAATTTCATCAAAATCCCTCTTGTTGATTTTCTGTGATCAGGTAACAGACAGACAGACAAAAATTCGAAAATTCTCCAAAAAATATGTAATGTACAGATTCGGCTTAGTTACAATTTTGTTATATGTATAGATATATGTAGATAGGTACATAATATGAACTTATGTATGTCTTGACTGTTGCTTTAATACTATTTAATACCTATGATTTTTCAGGTACATTTTCTTCTTTTAAAATAATGATTAAATAGTTACTGTTAGCGGTTTTACACTTTTATTAGTTTTCGTTCGGCCTAAAACCGCAAAACATGAATATTTCGTAAATGATTTGTATGGGAATGCGTAGAACTAAGTACGGTAAGCTGTGTTTTATGATTTACATACTTGGAAGATAACACCTAAACTTAGTTGTATTTTTAATTTAGAGCAGCACTTCAAAAAACCGTATCAATATATATATATATATATATATATATATATATATATATATATATAATACTAATACTACATCAAAATTAAGTCAGGAAATCATTTAATTATCAATTCGTTTTTGCAATTCCGATGCGAGTGCTTACAATAAAACTTGAAAAAGAGAACAAAGATCGATTATTTAAACTTAAAAGACTAAAGAAAACCAATAAAGGAAATTCAAACACGCGGTTAAGTATAAAAAGGGGTGTCCCTAAAAGGGAAGCAAAACCCATTGATTCATGTGGGAAAGTGACCCCTGTCCCTTTCTACAAGCGGACCGGTTGTCGACATCGGTGCGTAAGTAGCGTAAATGTTCCATTACGAACGATGTAAAAGGCAATTTACCGTCCCAATACCGGAATGAACGCAAGTAATGTGAAACTTTTATAAACGACTAGCATTGCCCGCGGCTCCGCCCGCGTTCAGATGACCAAAAACCTAATTCTTAGGTTTACATATTAGTATACTCTTACAATACAGTTTTTGTGTTTTTGTATTTTTTCTCAGAAATGAGACATTTTCCCGCGGTAAAAAGTATCCTACATGTTGACCCGGATAACCAGCTATCACCATACCAAATTTCATCCAAATCTGTCCAGTGGTTTTCTCGTGATGCGGTAACAGACAGACAGATAGACAGACAGAAAGACAGACAGAGAGACAAAAATTCTAAAAAGTATAGATTCGGACTCTGTATCGATAATAATGTCTATTTCAATTAGATTTCCCAAAAATATTTAATGTACAGATTTGACTTTGTTAGAATTTTATTATACGAGTATGTATAGATTGAAAAGTGACATGAAAAAAATACGTTTTTTGTACATGTATCGTGTAACGAAATGCTTTAAACAATTAACAATGTAATTTTAAACATGCCATTATTAGCTTCACTTACAATTATGTATGTGAAATCCGGATGACAATATAAAAAATCCGAAGAGGAACTACCCATAGTGGAACTCTTCAATAGCTACAGTAAAACCTTCAAATTTGGACTCATTTGATACATTTTTAACTAAACATTTTTAAAAAATTTTTTGGTGTTATAAGTTTGACGTCGATGTCTGTCTGTATGTGTGTGTGTCTGTCTGTGGCATCGTAGCTCTCAAACGGATGGACCGATTTCGATGCTATTTTTTATCATTGGAAAGCCAGTTTCCTTGTGGTGGTTCTTAGCTATGTTTGGTTAATATCAGTCCAGTAGTGTAAGAGTATCAGCTCTTTCCAAAAGGATGTAATGCATTTTGGCGTATAATTACTCGATTAAGTGCTTCACGCGTGCCAGTGTAATCGTTAAATGACAATTAATCAGCATAGGGTTTTTTTTAATTTTTAATTATAAGTCTAACACAAATACACTTGCACAATAGATAACTTTTATTTTTTTTTAAACTACAGTTAATATGAATTACATATAATATTCTTCGGTTGTAAAAACTTCTATTTTTATTATTTAACAAGCGCTTTACATAGCACGAGAAACTCAAATCGCATAATTTTATTTAAATTCATCATTGCTACGTCAACAAAATATTGGTAGGTACTTAGCACTAGCACTAAAAAATGTATGAAAAAATAACAAGATAACGAAGAAAGTATTAGCAATAAATTGAAAGCAAACGCTTCTTCTCGATCAAGAGGATTTTTTTGAATCGATTCAGCATCCCCACATAATCTCACTCGGCAACGTGATGTGAATAATATTCGCTAAGAATTATGGTGTGTCGTTTTTCAAAACGTAATTTTAATATTTGACTCGGTTTAGATAGCATATTGGAACACTTTCAGAATAAGGAAAATGTCGGCTGGTAATTTATGACAGCATTGATCTACTGTTTGGTGCAGTCTTTTGAATGAATCATTAATAATTCGTAAAATTAAAGAATCACTTGATAATGTTACTGATATTGTTGCTGTGTTTATTGTTTGTTTGAACAAGCTTATCTTTGAATTTGTTAGTTTTAGTGTAGACTAGCATTGCCCGTGGCTCCGCCAGCGTTCAGATGACCATAAACCAAATTCTTAGGTTTACATAATATTAGTATTCTCTTACAATGCACTTTTTGTACTTTTCTCAGAAATGAGACATTTTCCCGCGTTAAAAAGTATCCTATATGTTGACCCGGATAACCAACCAGCTATCACCATACCAAATTTCATCAAAATCCCTCCAGTGGTTTTTCCGTAACGTGCGGTAACAGACAGACAGACAAAAATTCTAGAGACTATAGATTCGGCCTCTGTATCGATAATAATGATTATTTCAATAACATTTTCCAAAAAATATTTATTGTACTGATTCGGCTTAGTTACAATTTTATAATATGTATATAGATTTAATATATTTTTTATTTTATAGCCTTCATATCTTAGCATGGTCGTAGCCAATGAGCTACAAGAAATTAAGTATAAATAAAATACGCGAGCGGAGCCGCGGGCAAACAGTTATAGATTATAAAACATTAGTTTTATATAAAAGTAAAATAATCATTGTGGCATATATAAATGTCATCAAAACAATTTCAATATAAAACTCAAGGCACCAAAGGTTACAGGGATGAAATGTCAATTCACTACTTGAAATGAAATTCCAAGATGAAACCGCAATAAACTGTACGAGGTACATCAAAACATCTCGCACTCGTAGCATATATCAAGAGAATCGTCTTCAGAAATGCTACAAATTTAACCTGAATAGTGAATAGTTAACTAATGTATCCTATAAAGCACGTAG